ATTGCATATAATTTGGTACGTGCTCACAATATCTGATTATTTATAAAGTCAAAAGATTAACATATATTTCTGTTACTTAAACAGACTAGATGGTAGACCCAAGTGCTAGATACAAGTGACTTATTGTACAAAACAAATACATTTCTCACTCCCGTGACCTTCATTACCGTCGTTTTTGGGATTACGGGAATGAACCAAAAGTTTCGGTAATGAAATGAATGTTGACTATAATAATATTTTCTACAATTTTCTATTTCCTTAAATACACATTGCAGACGTCATGACATGCCCAATCAACACAAGATATATTGGCGCGAAGAAGATTAGCCAAGCGCAAACGCAACGCCGTGCTAACAAAATGAAGAATGATACGCCATTTGCAAAACAAACGGAAATAATACGATATTTAAAGAGAAATGCAGAAAAGCAAATGAATAGTAGAGATGAATTGACACCACGTGCACTCTGAACACTCTGTATACGTGGTGTCAAGAAAGACTGAGGAGATTGAGGATAGTAAAAAATATCAAGAAACAAAAAAAGTCAAACAAAAAGAGATTAAACTTTTGGATACAAAAGGTAGCAAACACAAACAACTTGAAAAACAAGGATTAGATCCACTTGCACCAGATCTGTCTTCATCATCGCAAAAAAGGACGAAAACACGAGTATGAACATTTCTGAGAAATTGTTTCAATTGGGAGTAAAATTAAAACGACTGAGGTACCAATGAGACAAAAAGATAAAACTACTGAAAAATGTTGTAGGAGATGTGGAAAAAGAGAATAAGAAGTTGAAGACTTTTTACATATATCAAAAATAATATACAAGTCTCTAGAAAGACTGAAAATCAAATAGCTGGAAAAATTATAGAAAAAAGAACCGAATGCAGTTTAACAATAAAAAAGAGACAGTAATTTTGGAAAGTTGGTATAAATTATTTAATTACAATAATAAGTAGTAGAAACTAAACTAACCAAAACAAAAGAAAACGAAAACCATGACGATACTAATAAGGGTAACATAAAAGGAAAAGGTAAAGAGAAAATAGAAAGAAAAAGAATAGATTATTGAAAATAGTGTTTGAATAGTACTGGACGAATATATTATAAAAATATAAAACTTTTAAATAAAGCGATTTTCCAACATTATATTCTAATTTTGGGTTTTAAACATTTATTTTGTAAATAAAAAAATAGCTATGTTTACTAAAAAATAGTTATTAGCAAGGAAAATGTTAATTGTTATATTGTTACTAGTAATATAATTTATACACATTATACGTACACGTACACACAAACGCACATGAATACACGCACGCACATATATTCATTACATTTTATGTCTTAGAAAAATGGAGACTGATTGTAGTAATCCAATTAATAATAATTAGCAACTAAAGTTCCTGATAAAAATTTGGTGGTGCATATGTTAAAGTTTTCTTGCAATTTTAAGTTTTAAGTTTCAGTTTTTAGGTTTAAGTTTAAATTTTATATTTGTCATTATGAATAGAAATAACGAAATAATAAAAAAGTTATTTTTCACACTTATTTACACAATTTTCTTTTTTTTTATATGCATGCATATGATTACAGTAACCTTATATTTCATTACCTTATCCTAAAAAAAATAATTTACATGTAATAATAATAATAACGCACACACTCGACATAGCCCCGCACTAGGGAAACCCTGTGTCGCGGGTGCCATGGACACACACATAGACAACCATAAATTACACCCAAACTCACGACAGAAATAAATGTAGGCCATGCAAATATTTCTCCCAGCCCGGGAATCAAACCTGGGACCTCTGCGTGGCAGTCATATAGTATCCGATCGGCCACGGGAGGCAGTTAGGCAGTTTGTCCATTCTTCATTACCGTAGCTAGACAAATTTATAAAAACCAAATATCGTCTTTAATATTGATTGCATATCTGAGCCTTTGGTAATTTTATTTGTTTGGGTACATGCTCAGTCCCATACTATTTTCAAAAATCAATTTAATTACATTTTTAAATTTGAAAAAATTTTGCGCATTTATTGCTAAACTGTAGAAACACCCTGTCGCCAAAAAAAGTTTGTATGACAGCCATATTGAAAAATGGCAAAACAGAAATTTTGACTACAAATTATCATTACCCATAGTGACTTCGACATGCCGATTTGCAGGCGAATTAGAGCAAATTTTTATCTGCCGCCAAAAAATTTTGCATTGCAGCGATATTGAAAAATGACGAAAAATAAATTATGACCGCAAATTATTATTAAACACCCATAGAGACCCCAAATGCCGATTTTCAGTCGAATTGGAACAAATTTTTATCTGTCGCAAAAAAACGCTTGTATGGCGGCCATATTGAAAAATGACGAAAAACTAATGTTGATCATAAGTTATTATCAAGCTCTTCTAGACCCCCACATGCCAATTTTCATAGGGATCAGACCAAACTTTTTTCTGCCGCCAAAAAACGCTTGTATGACGGCCATGTTTGAAAATGGCGAAAAACCAATTATGACCACAAATAATTGTTATCAAACACTCCTAGAGACCCAAACTCCTAGAGACATGCCAATTTTCAAAGGGATCAGAGCAAATTTTATTCTGCCGCCAACGAACGTTTCTATGGCGGCCATATTTGAAAATAACAATCTACAAATTTTGACCACAAATTATTATCCGACACTTCCAGAAATTTCAATATGTTTTTTCAGCCGAATCAGAGCAAGTCCCTTTCGGCAGCTATTTTTAACAAAAAAAAAATAAAAAAATGCAGAAAAGAAACTTTTGACCCCAAATTATGATTAAGGACACCTAAACACTCTCAGCATGCCAATTTTCGACCGGATCGAAGCAAGTTTTTCTTCGGCCGCCATTTTGAGTTCGCCATTTAGACTTTTTTTTGACACAGGCAGTTAACCGCTGTTACATTCTATGACATTCATTCCAACACCTCCTACCTATCTCTAATAGTTACCGTGATAGAAGACCTTGAAGTTTGTATGGCGGCCATCTTGTTCGAACATTTTGTACATCCGGCGGAAATTGACCAGGGTGTACCTCATAAAAGTGCACAAATATCTCCACATATTATAATTTTTGCAGGCCGTTGATCACTCTTTCATATTTTCCACATTCAGGTCATCAGGACTGATTCTTTGCTTTAGAACCTATCCGCGTACAACGGTATAAATATCTATTTTCCGCCATATCGGGAAGTATGCGTTCTATTTCTGTCAGTGAGTAAGAACTTGTAGCTTTATATATATAATAGTAGTTTATGTGACTGTTACATAATGGCATTAAAATATGAGTGAGGGTTTATGAAACTCGCCTGGTTCCATAAAAACATCTCACGAGTGTTTTAATGCCTAATTATGTACAGTTACATACACTGCTTTATCTACACACATATTATAAGCTCTCTGTGATGTGCTCTGGAATCGCATGTTACGACTGGCGAAATGGCGGCAAATAAAAACTTATCTCACGCATGTCACACAACCGTAGTTTTTATTTTTAATTCATAGACGAACTAAAATCGGCCCCAACTATCATATCGTTCGATATCAAGTAACGTGTGAAGTTGTCAAAATTGTTTGCTATTGATATTTCATTTCGAATGAAACTTCATTTCGGCTGATATTAGAATTGAGGTCCAATTTTTCAGATATGTTCGAAATTTGAATGTAATAGAATTCGATGTTAATACGAAGCAATAATAACGTTGTCACAGATAAGAAATTTGTTCTAACAAAACGATTTACCCTTATGCACGTCGTAATTAGCGGTTTTTGAACACATTATAGCGAGTTTATGATATGTGTGTCGATAAAAATAGTTACAATACAAATTGTATAATGTGTGCCAGAAAATCATACAAATTTCCTGGTCTCAAACTAGGGAATTCCCTGTATTATGAGTACCAGAGCAACGGAATCCATTCTGGGGCATTTACCAGAACTCCCAGACCAGAACCAATTTAAAAAGTTCATTTCCCAAATTGGTCCTAACGGGAATCGAACCCGGAATCTCGCACGGAAGCTTGCACATTTGAACTTATTACTGTACAGTCAAGAGCACATCAAGCTTGACACTTTGTACCTTGGACCGTTCTTATCATAAGCGGTAAGTTATTATTGGTAAGTTGGATTTAAGTCTTATGTGTCATGCTTCACGTGCTCTTGATCCTACCAAATACAGATGTAAAAAGTGTTATATAGTACAAAACCCTAAAAGTAAATTTTTGGTAAATTTATTATGTTTTGTAAAAAGTCATGGAACAAAAGTTGTTCTTTATGACGCTAGTAATGTAGTCCTGGGTGGTTGTCAGTATTTTAAAAATAACCCTGTAGGTTGCTTGGTATGAGACTTTAATATTTAAGTTATGAACATATTTCGCGAAAGATTTGCAGCAATACCTCTTGCTAAACATGAATTAAAATATAGTGATGAAACCTCGTAATTCATGCATAACTCCTACATTTGTGAAAACAAAGGATGTATAGGTCTCTTGACATGTAACAATACAAGTACATACATTCACTGTGTCTGGTCAAACATAAGACAGATGTACAAACAAGTTGAAGGTGTATTTGCACATTTGCTCCCATGCATTTAACAGACTAAACTAGACGTAGCTGTAGAGCTCCTTGTGAAAGAGTTTGTCCAGATTAGTACTGTCACCTTACCTATTTCTATCGCCAAGCAGTGATGTGAGCATTACTGTGTGCTAAAAAGGTCTTTGACCTCGTAGTTAAAGACGTGTTGCTCAGAAAATTTGCGGCCGTGGGTTTTGCTCCAAACCTACTATCTTTTTTCGCCGATTTCTTAAAGACCGCAGACAACTTGTGCAAAGATCTGGTTTTCGGTCTAGGAATTTCTTTACTCACTCCGGCGTGAGCCAGGAAAGTAACCTGGGCCCAATGTTAGTTTTAATTATGGTGGACGACCTTCGGACATGTATTGGGGTCGATCGATCGATAGATAGGTCGGTCGATGGGTCGTTCGATTGGAGGGGTCGATGGATCAGGCAATGTATCGGGCGATTTATCGGGCGACGGATCAGGCAATGGATTGGGCGATGGATCATGCGGTGGATCGGGCGATGGATTGGGCGATAGATTGGGTGATGGATCGGGCGATGGATTGGGCGATGGATCGGGCGATGGATTGGGCGATGGATCGGGCGATGGACCAATGGACCGATGGATCGGTGGATCGGTGGATCGGTGGATCGATGGATCGATAGATCGATAGATCGTTGGATCGATGGATCGATGGATCGATGGATCGATGAATGGATGGACGGACGGACGGATAGATAGATAGATACAGATATTTTTCGTATTTTTTAGTATGTCATTTTTATATATATTCTGCCATATAGAACCACTACCAGAACCGTTTTAGTAACAATGGAGCTCCTTGCGAAAAAGTTCAGTCCAGGGAAGTACTGCCACCATATTTGAAGGGGTGCTGGTGACATTAAACTATAATTGAAACGGTTCCGTTGACCTAACCCTCTCCTAAGTGGATACTCGTACCAAACAGTACAAAGCCAATGATGTTTAGAGTTCTTAGGTTTTCGCGATTATTACACAAGTTTCGGCTCCTTTTACTGGTCCCGTTGCCACGGCTGACTGAGATGATAAATCTTCAACCAGTTATGACCAATATTAATGCAAACCATACTATTTTCCACTACCGTTATAAAATGTATTAATGTAAATGTCTTTTTTTTTTAAATTTTTAACAAGCGTTTTAATTTACACTACGTACATTAAAAAAATATTTTATTTTACTTTAACAATACGATTTTATTTATTTTTTTCTCATAAAAAGGAAATTAGAAACAAATTAAAACTTGATCATGCTGTACATAATTAAATTAAATTAAAAGAATTTAGAAAATAAAATACGTTCTCTATCTGTAGATAGATAGACATTAAGGGAGAAATGCTAATTCGTTTGCTACATCTTAGCTCCTCTTTTGTGTTGACCGACTTGAATCGAGGGGAATTGTCTTAGTTTGAAGACATGCCCTGGAATAACACAGACTGATAAACGATTGAGATATCAGAGATATTGACTCAATTTACTTGCACGACGTGGCTATTTTAAATTTGCACAATGCAAATGTATGCTGTCAGATTTCACAAAAGTGTTTGGTAAGAAACTGCGGATAAAGACCTCGGCGATGGATAATTGTACAACTCGTTAGAAGTTTAATTGTCTCAATTGAAGACTTGGTGAACAAACGAATTAAGCGTGAAATAAGACAGATCTAATCCATCATTATGATCAAAAAAATACTCAGCTCTATGAAGAAGAGTTGTGCGGTCAGCGTCATATTATAATGATGGATTAGAAAATATAATAATAAAATTATAAAAACTCTTCACACACAACATCACCCACAACTCTTCTTCATAGAACTGACTATTTTTTAAATCATAATGATGGATAAGATATGTCTTATTTTACGCTTAATTCGTTTGTTCACCAAGTCTTAAATTGAATAGAATAGAATAGAATAGAATAGACATTTATTGCAACGCCACAACACATAGATACAAAAAAAAAATATTGATACTACTTTGACAAGCAAAACAAAACAAAAAGACGTAATAAACAAAATTAAAATAAAATGAAATAAGACAATAACAAACAAAGAGCAAAACAAAAAATACTAAATATAAAAACTACAAATGTTGTACTGTCATGTGTGCGGTTGTGGCGTACGCAAAAGGACTTCATTCAGCTTATGCCACAGCCGAAATTGACTGTGGCGCTGGTTTTAATTGAGACAACGTCAACAATCTACTAAAATATCATATGATAATTATTGATAAAAATCACAAATCTTTATATCCCTCATTTTGTTTTACGTTTTAGGAACATTCACGGACTTATTACCACTATAGTTAATCACAAAAAAGAATATACACCATATACAAATTTCCTCCGTTCCATTTTTTATGATCATGAAATGGCGAATCGAAGAAGTCATGCCTGATGGTAAGAAGTAGTTTTAGTAGCAGTAGAGAAAATCTTGTGAAAGAGTTCGTCCAGGGAAGTACTGCCACCTTCATTACTAAGTTCCGGTTTGGAAGGGTAAGGGTGCTGGTGAAATTATAGGCACATGGGACTTGTCAAGTTATGTTTCAGGGTGACGGGTTAAAAGCTCTAAGTAGAACTGCAACTGTTACGGACAGGCGTGTCGCTTACCACCAGGTGCACTACTTGTTCGTCTCGTCACTTCTGTACTATAAAAACAGCACTCCTACCCAGAACAATTGCAGTGCCACTCAGAGCTATAAATGGCAAAGCCCTGAGAAGCACTGCAACAGTATAGCGTCATTAGTACCAGGAACAGGTACAGCAGCTTTAACTTCAAGTTAATGTATCATGTTTCTATTGTTGTTTTCAAAGTTATTCCTTGACGTTGTATTTATTGTGACATATAAATACAACAATATGAAATGATTATGTATTATATTCTAACAGAAACGAGTTGCCAAAAGTAGCTGAAAAGCCTTTATGCCTTACGATCGTTCGTAATAAATGTTGTCCAAACATAAAATGAGCCTCCATCCATTATAAAGATTTCAAAGAGACAGATTATCCTCCAACGGTTAGGGAATTCTTGAGCAAAAAGAAATGGCTGAGATGTAAAGGGAATCTCATTTTGGTAATATTTGTAGAAATTACAGGCACATGGGACTTGTCAACTTATGGCTCAAGATGACAGGCGCGGTGGCAGTGTCTCCCAGACCTTTGCGAATTAAGGTTTAAGTGGCACTGCAACTGCTATGGACAGGCGTGTTGCTTAACATCAGGCACACTACTTGTTCGTCTTGTCACTTGATATCATAAAAAAATTGATAGCTTTTAACCTGACAGTTCATTACGAAAAGCTATAGATTTAGATCAATCAATGTTGTATACATGTATACACTATTATTAACACTTTTATAAATGGATCACTTATACCTAAATGGACAAGTTCCAAATGGACCAGTTGTAAATGGAATCTTTCAAACGTTTCAATTGTCATGGTTGTTTATAACCTGCAAATTCATAATGAAAAGCTGACGATTGAGATCAGCGTTGTGTGTAGTCTATTATTATGCACATTTTTATAAATGGATCAATTAATGGACGTAGTTTACTTATGGAATGGACATTACAACCTTGGCGAAAATGTTATGAATCGCACAAGGAAGGGCGGGAAGAAAATAAGAATTATATTCTCATGCCCGTCTTATGGGCGGAAATCAAAAGTTTATAAAGTTGTAGATATCATAGAAGGTCGAAAGTAGTATTGGAGAGGACACGTTGCTAGAAGGACATCACAGCAGCGACGACTGGGGCCGACCGCCAAAGCGATGGGTTAACGATAAGAGGCGGTTCGCAGGCTGAAACTGTATGAAAGAGATGCAAGGACTGTGTCCAAAAGACGGACGAAAATGTTGGTGATCCCTACATAGGGATCACCGTCATTTTCGTCCACTACATAGTGGATCAACGCGAATAGGTATCAGCATACTTTCATGAATACTTTTTATTATTGAGTGTCAACTGAACAACATAGAATAAATAAACAGAACTGTTACCTGTTACTGTAATGTGTACGTGTGCGTGTGTGTTCTCAGTAAATATTTGAAATTCTTATTTCGACACACTTCCAGTTTTGCCATTCTGACAAACGAATTGAAACAACTCAATAGGAAAGGCAAAGATGTATAGTTGACCTAAGATTTGTCTAAAAAATGTCTCATCCCTCTAGTCTTAAATAGCCCTGTATTGTACTTTTCAGGAAATACAGATGTCGGTTGCGCAGTCCATTCTCTTGCCATAAGCATTTGGAAGGAAAAGCAAAGCGCTTCTTGCAAATAGGTGATATATCAACGACATAAGTATTGAGTGTTCCGGACTTTTTAATTGACCGAAAGAGGAACTGTGAAGGTAGATCTAAATGGAAAAGTTCCACACCATTCAAAATGTATTGGACAGAAAACTGACAAGCAGGCCACTTTTTTGCGGTGCTCAAGATTTCGAAGTTTCGACTACACAAAAGACTAGTTGCTAATAAGTCTCTTTGCTTTTCGATTTATCGAGTTGAATGAATTGTATTCCTTTGTCTCGTTTTGTATAAAGACATGGTTTGAATAAACATTTTCACATAAGCAATATTTTATATTTTTATTCCCCTAACAGTGTGTGGCAATCCTTAGTCCAAAGTACTATTGATATTTTCACTTTCACAGTTACGATTTTCATGAATCACAATCATCCCTAAGTGAGCACCGTCTACCAAATAACGTTGATCTCCCTTCGTTTGTCATTCTCGTACTTTATCGCTCTTTCAGAATAAAAGCGAAAGTTTGTAATAAAACCAGGATATTGTCTGTCCGAGAGCTTTAAATTATGTGCCAACTTTAATGGTAGTCGTTTTGTACAGTTTACTATCTTTTGCTCAGAACTTCGTCCACGAAGTTGATGGAAAAATTCCCATCGGCTATAATTTAAGCAAAGTTATCGTGTGCTAAAATACTACATTTTTTTCAAACTAGCAAATATTTCTCATCGTAGATCAATTTTATCAAAAACATTTCCCCGTTCACAATCTATTCGACAGATTCTAAAATCTTTTTGCAATGAATTACATCACAATGCATACGTACACGTAAATGTGTTATAGTTCATGCGTACTATGTATACCAGTGATTCTTAGTATTATCCAAAATTGTGTAAAAAGATATGTGAAAAGTGTATTACAGAACACTGTGTTGAAATAGGACGTAGCGACAAAAACAGAAAAGTATGTTGAGGTGGTTTCGGTAAATACAGCGTTAATGCAAATGGAGTAGTAAAGTAAAGGAGATAATATAGAGCTAATGTGGAAGGCGATATTGGAAGAGGACGGCCACGAAAAACGTTTTCAGATCACATCGAATGAGTCTTAAGAAAGACTGGAGTGGGAAGCACAAAGAGGGGTTCAATGAAAAGTGCTAAAAGAAAAGCTTGCCAGGACAGTATTTGTCTGTCCTAATGGGAATTCAAAGATGCAAGTATGCGTATGAATGTCGTATGAAAAGGTTAGTTATAGAACCAGCACGTCGAGCCGTTTGTTTGAATGTAATGAAACTAAAACGGTGTAAGCTTTACAACCGACTATTAATGGTAGGCTATATAAATTTTACGAGGGTCTCGAAACA